TTCCAATTCGGTATTGGTGGAACCCATTGAATTATAGATGATGTTGTACGACGTTCACTCGGAGGAAAACTTTCTAAAATTTGAGTATTCAATATTGAGCCATTTGGTTGTTGTTCATTTATCTGTAGACAAGTGTTCTGATTTTAGATTAAATCAAGTTTATCTTATACCTCTATTGGTTGAATATTGAATAGTTTAATAACATTATCAAGTTCTGTTATAGTATCATTACTCACAATAACACGAAATGGTGTTGTCTATAAAGAGAGTATAATTGCATGGATATTATTTTTAAAAGTCTTTAGGTTAAGTTGACCCATATGAATATATCATACGATCATCAATCAATCAATCATTTTGTTCCTCAATTTTACATAGTTCACTTTCAGTAATATTGTAATAAACATAAAGAAGGTATTTAAGTAGAATAATCCAAAGTTACCGGTAGAAATTGACTTGAAGAGATTGTGAAAACATTCTCATCAAACTACACTAAACTGAATAAAAATCTTGCTCCAATCAGCGATAAAAATCACTGAAAAAGTTTTTTAACATAAATACGAAAATATTTCGAGTTGAAAAGTAGAATTTTTCATGAATCTGCAGTAATTGTTAATGGGCAATAAATATATTTGATTCTTGATAAACACGAATATCATTTTTAAGAAAAATTGTTTATCACTAAATATCTTCAAAAATTAAAAGACTGAAACTCGGTTATGTTCAATTTCAAACAAGCATTTTAATGATACTGTTCAACATGGATATTTAGAGATCTTTCTTTAACAATATCAAATAACGTGAAATAATGAATATTAGTCAATTATGATCACATATTGGCAAAAATATATAAATTTTCTTGCTTTAAAAAGGAGAATAGTAAAAGTGAATATACATTATTGATAAAACGGCAAAGTATAGAATTGATCCTATTTTTTTTTTGTTTAGTTTTCTAATAAAATAAATATAAAAGCACGTGAAATTACTTTTTCAATTTGTTTTTTCTTTTTTTCGCCAGTAAATGCTTCAATTGCTTTTAAATGATAGAGTTGTCGAACAAGTGCAAGTGCACAACTTTTTGAAGCAATCTGCTTAGTTGATCCATTTTCTCTTGCATGAATTGCTGAAAAAGAAATGTGTGTTTCGTTTAAGTTTTTCTTTTTCTTTTTAACTTACTCTGACTACGTTCTCGAATAAAAACGGATAATTCGGCAAAAAATGTTCTAGAATATCTCTGATCATTGAAAATTTTCTACAATGGAAGAAAAAGTGACTAATGCCATTCTTCATTGATTTACGTTTTCTATCTTTGAGTTATCGATCAATCGATCTAACTTATGAAATTATTATTTTGTGTTCGTCAATAGAACGTAAAGCAAGATCGATTGATCTATTTGATTAGTTTTATAGATTATCGAAGTATGAGCATTTGTCACTTTTACAGAGAAAACTCTCTGTTTTCTATGTTAAAATAAAACAAACCGAAGATTATCTGGTCCACTTGCTGTGTATTTGTATTCTTGTGGAAGATTACTTTTTTGTAAATATTGATGAAGGCGACCTTTTGCATTTTCAATGGTCCAATTTCCATGTATCGATGCATTTGTATCACTTTCTTCTTGCTAAAAACATTTTCAGAAAACAACATCTATGAAGAAGAATTTTTCATACATATGATTGCTTCAAACCTCTTCGAGCATTTTACGACCAGAACGAATATGTTCAAGATAATGAGATGGTGGTCCCGGTTGATAGGGAAGAAGAGTAGGTGGCGAACTAATTTTGTCTAAATTAAAAAAGAAGATTCCATTGTATTAAAATGATAAAGCAGACATTTTACTTAGAAGAAAATTCTTTGTTGAAACATTGAATAAAAATGAATATATAAATAAAATAGTGTTCGTAAAGAGACAAGTTCTTTTTTCAACTTCGAAAGTATTTTGATTTATGTATGTCAAGAATCGATTCAATAACATTTTTTGAAAAGACTTGCTCAAATATATTTCTAAGCATTTTTCTACTCAAAATTCTTTACTTCTGCATAGATCATAAACAAAACATATCTTTATCAATTTCATAATGAGTTACGAATGTCATTTATAAAAAAAATTCAGACATTTTATTAAAGAATCATTTTTTCATATCATAAGGAACCACTAATTAATTTCTTTTAAAGTACTTGACAAAAAAAGAGGAATTATTTTTGATAATGGGACAACAGTCTAAGTTGGCTGATTAATCGATGGGTATGAGGAAATGATTTATTTGGAATTACAGAGAACTGATCAGCAGTTGAAATGAATCCTTAAGTGCATTGTAAAGATGAATTCGACAATTGATTATCGTCATAAAAATGTTATGTTTACTTCTGAAAAGTCTATACATATGTTCATCGTCTTTATTCTATAGGGCTCATTTGTAGTATCGTTTAACTGAAGTGATTGCTTTTTTCGTAATATATACTTTAATATAATTCAGTGTAACTAACCAGCTATTGTATTATGCTGCAGCATATGTGGTGGAACAAGACCAGATGGCAACGTTCCAAGTGATTGTGTCGTAAGAACAGATGAATTTTTTGATGGCTACAAAAATATTTTATGAAATCATATGACCATATAAATTGAGTAAATAAAAAGAAATAATTTACAAGGTATGGTTCAAGTTCATTCTGTAACATTTTTCCTTCACGAACCTAAATTAAGAAGGCCTTTTGAATTGTAAATTAAATTAAAAAGAAACCAACTAGGTATTGACAGAAATCAATTGCAGCATTTGTTTGTGCATCTTTCTTATTTGTTGAATTTCCAATTGCAGTATAACAATATGATGGTACTGTTAGCTTAAATAAAAAATAAATCAATGAAAATTTTGAAAAAAAAGTCACTAAATTATTTACTTACTTCACATTTAAATCGTATTCTTTGTTTTGTACCTTGTTGTGAGACTTCGTAGGAAGGAAGTTTATTTTGTTTACCTAACCAAGCATATAAAAAGCCTTTGATATCACCAAAATTTCCACTCGCAAGATTAGGTGTTGACATTGTTGATTAAATTAGAGTATAAAAATGAATTTGTTTTAAATAAGTCTAAATACTGTGATTGATGTTTCTAGGAAAAAGAAAAAAGCTTCCGTGTAATTTTGAAAATTGAGCTCGTTGGTCAATTTGATACCTAATCTCTCATGTTCACATTTTTTTTTTATTCTGAAGCGGATACATATAGATCGATATACAACAGTGACATCTGTCGAATTTTGCCGCTTGCATTTTTTTGCATCGATCTGGTATATTTGTTTTATTTGAACTCTAGTAGAAAATATTGAAATACTTAGGATAGTTAAAAATGAATCAATTTTCTGTGTCATGCATTCTAAATATACAACAACTTGACTCAAAGGAAAGGAGTTTTCTGTCAGTTTGTTTGACTTATAACTCTCTTACAGTATGGCAGTTTGAGATGAGATGTTGATCATTTTATCTACTCATTATCGTCAACTACCATTCAAAATATCAGCATAGTAAAACTTATAATTTATGAGAAAGTAGTAAACCAGTGTCAATGTGTCACACAAGATTGTAAGATCTAAAATACTTCACATCTGCTGTCAAAATAAAGATGCCCTTCATCCAAATACAGTGCTGTGCCTGTTCATGTCTGAACTGAGGAGTTCATTTCATGTAAATAAAGTCAACTGATGAATATACAGCATAAAACACATGATTAAAGCCATACGTAGTCGAGTTTTTATCAAACTTTGACTCTCTACCATATTTCGGCTTGTCCACGTCACGCGCTACTTCGATGCAGAAGTTTTGAAAAACAAATTTTTTAAGATAGAGAAATCTCTATACATTTTAAACTTTTAAACGAAAACACTTTTTGGAAAAATGCTAATCATCATACCATTCGACTCGATACAGGCTTCAATTCTCTACAAAATGGCCAGTTTATTTTTAAATTCCACTCTTCAAGGCAACTTTTACATTGTTGTAAAGCTTTTAACTTTCCATATTGGCAAATAGCTTCCGCTTCGATACAGCAACTTGATTTTTTTGTACAATGTGTATAGCTATGTAGAGAATAAGCCAATGACTGAAAATAAAATAGATTTGACTAACTTAAGGGGTTCAAAATCGATCGACAAAAAATAGTATCGCAGCGTTACATTTTCTTTTTTCATTTTTTATTTGAATAACGAGAGCTAGGAGAAAAAAACTTTTACCATTGGAATGCTCGTTTCATGTTCTACAAAGTTGGTTCCAGATCTATTTTAATTGGAGATCGTCGTTCGCAGGGAATTAAATGATAAATGAGAGCGTTGCAAACTCAGGGGCCTTTTACGTCAAAGTGTTACGTGACTATAAACCATTTCTGTAAACTATAGAGTTCAACAAAAAAACGTCAAATTTACAGATCAAATAGAACTCTTCGAACTGCGTCGAATGGCGTTTGAATGAACTTTCCAGCTATCATACTTTTCGAAATATTTCAAAAAAAGTTTGCCAAAACGTCACAGCGTTATGCTTGGACAAGCTGATTTCGAGGCATAAGCCAAGAAGTCGTATTAAGGCATTTTTCATGTTTTTTTAGTGATCTTCGTATATCACAGCCATATTTATAGGGGTAGTCGGGAAAATTCATCCATTTTTCCTCTCGCGTAGAACAATAAATCGCACGATTCATCATTTTTCGAATCGAATTTTTTTCACCCTGCTGTTACTAAAAGTGATATAATAAATTTGTAATTCACTCATATATATATATATATATATATGAAAAACATCTTTCGGAAGTTGAGACCAAGACTGTGACATTTTATGTATATGAAATAAAAATGTGTCGATATAGTAGAACTTTCACATTCCATTGATAGATCTATTGAAGACAAACTGATAGTGTTTTCAATAGAATTGATAGTATTGAGAATGATTTATTTTTAGAATATCTAATTGTTATAGGTTAATAGAAAAAAAGAAGAAAAAAAGAATTTTATATTTTTAAGGAAACGCTTTTGCAAGTTTTTGATTATCAATAGCATATTCTTGTTCCCATTGTGAAACATATGTTCTATAGATAATTTCATCATCGTCAATATTTTCTTTTGCAACCATTTCTAGAACTTTTCTTTGACATGACTTAAATTTTTCAATATTTTCGCGTTCACAATAATAAGCATTAAGTTCATCGTTTGAGCAAACCATTTTCATTTGTTTTTTCCATATTTTAATTCGATTAAGACGATTTGCATTGTTACCAAGAACTTGAAAATATCGATTATAAACTGGTTCTTTTGTTAATTGTATTAATTGATGAAGTTTTGACATACACAATGATGAAAGAGATGATTTGGCCATTTTTGTTCTGTTAGTCAAACATTTTTCATTAAATTGACTTTCACTAAATAAACTAAAAATATTTTCTTTTTCATTTGGACAGCATTCATCAACAGCTCGACATCGAACATCATATGCTTGACGAGAAGGTACAGATGGTGATCGATCGAGAAATTGTTTATGTAATTTTGTCAATTCATTTACATCCGTTTCAATTGTTGATGATGGAATTAATCCATTAACTGTGTAAATTAGAATTGATAGAAAAAGACCAACAGAAACAAACATTATCTAAATTAAAAATCAAAAAAATTGAGCATTTATCAAACTTGATATGATTAGAAATTGTCCTACTTTATATATCTTGCAGTAAATATCTAAAAATAAAGACAATGAAGAAAAATAACAGATCTCTTCCTGTAAAAATAGTTTAACTAAAAATAGAAATAAAAAAGATTATAATTAATTCTACATTTCTTGTTCTTATTAATTAAAAACTCAATAGAACAGAAACAAACTAGATATTATTCACTTTTGAATAATTAATATATTTTGAACAAATTTTGTCAAGACCGGAATTACAAACGATTCTACACAGTTCAATGTTCGATCTTCGATCTATGACGCTTTGTGTTTGTTCTATATGTTTCCGCATTCAGATAAAATAGATTTACTTCAGCTAAACAGTCGAAAAGAAAATATCTTCTTAAGAAAGAATCTCAATAAAAATATTTCTCTAGACTGTCATTGTACGAATATTCTATGTTACAATTTATAGAAGCTTCACAATTTCAATGATAGAAACAATTTGACCTCGTTTACCGTTAATCATGTGAATTTAATGAAATACAATGCGAATGTTATCTCATTAAAATAAGATTTAAGTATGAGATTAACATAATATAATTGATGAGACTATGGAATGCATCGTTTTTACGCATTTTAACAATAGTACAAGGTAACATTTGTTTTCATTGAAACCTTTAAACATATTTTAATTTAAGCGTGGGATACAATGCATTGATTATTGAAGTCTCTCAGCTTCTCATAGTCTACAATGAGTTTTTATAATGATTGAATCTATACATTTTAATTCTTTGTTCCTTTCGAAGTATCTTTAACATTGAAATTAGATGCCATTTCACATTCGCTCGACTTCAAAAGTCGACCTTGAGCTTCTAATGTCGATTATGGAGAAATTGATATTTTCTTAAGAAAACCAATAATTGTTTCTGCTATATTGAATAAGAAACGCTTGTCTCCAGCAGATATTTTAAATTTACTTCAACGAACTTTCTTTTCTGTCTGTATAATCGAAAAAATGACTCTTTGAGTAAGGCCCCCCCCCCTCAGAAAAGCCGATTTTTCNCCGTGATCTCCTCTTTCAGAATATATATAATTATTTGAAAAAAGGTTAAGTTTTGACAGACTTATTGAAGAAATACTCTTTCATTTCCCTTACTCCCACACACCTTTCTAAAAATTCCTAAATGTTGATCTGAAAACATGGGTCTCAAGTAGAAAAATTGCTATAACTTTCATTTGGTTTTAGCTTTCCCTGATATTTTATTTTTATTTTAAAGGTTTCAATTATAGCTAACTTTTTATCAGACGGATTTTCGACATTCGATTCCTAGACTGAGAAAAGTCCGATTTAGTGCGTTTTTTATACCTACTTTGGCAGTCACACCGAGTAAAATACTTATAAAAAAATGAACAGAAGGGAATTGCAAAATTCTGTGCGATGAAAACTTGCGTATGAAGGCTAGCTTGAATTTAAAACCGACCCAACCTCGATAGCTCTCATAGTCATGAAGTTATAGCAATTCTCGTGGAAGCCATAAAAACAAATCATAAGTCTAGTTTAGTAAGGTATACAAGGCTGAAACGTTTACCACGAGCGTTTCTCACTAGGTCCATTCATTTGTGAAAGTTTCAGCCCAAATCTATACTCCAAAGTGGCAAGTCGATTCTGAGGGGAGGCCTTAAACTGCTCATCGAAGTTAGAAAGCCTATTAAAAGTCATCAGTATAAGTTTCATTATTGAGTGAATTCTATCAATGTGTATTATCACGTTCCTAATGAATACTCAGGTTTTTTCAAGGTATCATACAATAAAATTACTTGCCCAAAGAGAGTACCAATTAAGTTTTGTGGAAGTCTTCGTTTTAATTGCCTGGAAGTTTGATAATAATCATGTTAAAAAAACTGAATCTTCTTATGCAGCTTGTTTCTTTTTTGAAGAAAATAGAACGTCCTATTGAAGATCGAAAAAACATAATTAGAACGATTAGCTCTCAATATTTTCATGAAGCTTTAGAACGAAAATTTTCGAATTTTCTACTCTCAAAATAATCACGAGACACAATGACGACGTCTGATACACACGTTGACAAACAAAGGTAGGAAACGTGAGAAAATCTTCATAAATCCTATGCTGTGCATCTTAAACTAAGTGCAATCCATGGATTCTATAGGTAACTTACAATCCTGTAAATGGCACGAAATAGGTTTGTCATGTCAAAATCACGAGCTACACTGTGCTTATACTTGTAAAAAAAGTCAAAATAAATATCGTTGGAATTGAAGTTGGTCAAAAGACTTCTAGTCTAACATTGATTTTATAAATGGATATTAAATATTCTAATCATTGATCGCATTTATGTCAATCTATTGATTATTAGCATTATTCGGTTGATCACAGATTTTGATTCTGACCCTCTTTTATTATACACACAGGGAATTATCGAAAAATTGTTAAAGAAAAAAGTGTTATCACTTTAATAATGTTCGTTTGAAGCAATTTTGATTATGTTTTTGTTTCATAAATATTTGTGATGACCGTTAGTTATTTCAATCATTTGAATAATTTGACTATTAAGGACTGTACTATAGCAATATGAAAAACACAAACAATCGAAGTTGGGAACACGTGAACAACATGATACATAGATATGACTCAAATCGCTTCGACATTGAATTGTTGTAATGCAATGAACTCGAAATCATTTTTAATTTTGACATACTGATCTTCCAAAAAATATCTGTGCACGATGTTAATAAGTACATATCGCACTACACTGTAAAAACAATTCGTAGAATACTAAACCCTCGTACTTTCGGAAAATCTTCCTAAACCCTTAAACGGTTTATGATACTGTCTTAAACCCTTAAAGGGTATTTGTGAAAAAGGGCTTATGAGCCGCGAAAGAAAGGTTTATTGTTCTACCCTTTCATCAAAGGGTTTATTGTTCCACCTTTTCATGAAAAGCAATTATCATTCTCCCGTTAAGGGTTCATTGTTCCCCTTTTCATAAAAAGGGTTCAACATTTTATGCTTGAGGATTTATTGTTCTGCTCTTGCCCAACTTGATCAACTCGAAGACTTTTTAGTCAAACAAAAACAATTTCAAACCAATCCATATGCAAAACGTTTTCAAACAAATCATGCGAAGTCAAACAAGACAGCAACTAACTTGCCTAGCACAGGCCCTCCCACAAAAAGGCTTTTAGCTCTGTTTACCAATACCTGCATACAACACTAAATTCAACTCATTCATGTCACTTATCTTTCATCTAACGACTTCTTAAATGAAACTGCGATTACAATTTTAAATACAACTATATTTTATTTTCTGTTACTTAGAAATGGTCGAACCACTTTTCCAACAGAAGCTAAATTATAATTTTAAATTCAATTTCAATTCAATTTTATTTTATTTAGAATTGGTCGATCAACTTCTCCAACGAAAGGTAAATTATAATTTCAATTTCAATTTCAATTATATTGTAATTCATTTAGAATTCGTCGACCAACTTCTCCAACAACCGGTAAATTAAAATTTTAAATTAAATTATTTTTTTATTTTATTTAAAATTGGTCCAACAACTTCTCCAACAACAAGTAAATTATAATTTCAAATAAAATTATGTTTTATTTTGTTTAGATTTAGTCGTTCGATTTCTCCAACAATAAGGTAAATTATAATTTCAATTTCAATTATATTTTATTTAGAATTGGTCGAACAACTTCTCCAACATCAGGGAAATTAAAATTTTAACCGCCTGCCGGGGAAGTTTTAAACTTCCACAGGGGCCAACGACTATCTTTGTAATAGTTGTTGGAGGCGACCCTGGGCTGCTGGTAGCCACTAGTCTGGTCATGAGGCTAGCGACCTCTAGTTGGACATTAAACAATTATTGCTAACGAAAAGAAACATTATCGGTGCGTAAATGCACAAAATCATGTCTTTTTCGGTGGGTGGAACGTTAGATCCTGTGTGAAACAATCAAAGAAAGAAATTATAACTAATCAATTGAAACAATATAGAATACAAGTGGCCGTATTAAGTGAAACATGTATGTGTAATGCTGGTGTGAAAGTAGTTAACGACTATACGATGATCTATTCAGGCGCACCACATGAAATGAAAACACGAAAGGCTCCTGGTGTCGCAATATGTCTTGATCAAATTGCTGCAAAGGTTTGGAAAGATTCTGGAAGTGAATGGGAGCCAATCAGTGAACGCATTGTAAAAATTAGATTACAATGCACTCCTATTCATATTACAGTAATCGCTGCCTACTCTCCAATCAATGTTGATTGTGTCATC